CAGAGACAGATTCTTGGTTACGAATCATACACTTGAGCTGTTTGGTTAAGCAATGTGCTCCTTTGTTACACTGTTGGTATTCAATCCCTTGATGTTTCAAGTGGTTGAAAACCGTTCATTCACTTCGTACTCATATCCAATCCAAATGATATATAAAAGTATTTTCTTTGGGTTTTCTCCAACCTTTCTTTACCTCATGGTCATCTGTCGTTAATCGCAATCTTCGATCGCACACAGGTTCACATTGCCTGACGGCACCGTAGGCGAGATCCGCTTCATCGCCGACGAGAATGGCTACCGACCCGAGTCTCCGCTGATCCCCACGCCCCATCCCCTCCCAGCTCACGCAATCGAGCAGATTCGCTTTGCTGAGGAGCAGCGCGCCAAGGGCGTCACCTTCGAAAAGTAATCTGAGGCTGGTCCCCACCCATCCACGACCACTTCGATACACAGCTAACCCTCATCTTGTACCCCATGCACACTCACATGAGAAAAAAATCTCCCTCAAGCTCAACTTTTAGGGTGCATCTTTTGGCTCAGCAGAAGTCCAAACACAACTCTAATAAGAACACATGTATAGAAAAATAAACTTTTTTGCAGGCCTCTGTGTTTCTATGGGCAGTTCCTTTTGGCGACTTTAATGGTGCTTTAGTTTCTCTTTATATGCTGTCCCCACTCACATTTAATAGGAAACTTTTATTAACAAGTAGAGAGTGTCAAGTAACAGCAGCAATAAAAATAATACCAATAATAATGAAGATGTTATAAATAATAATAATAATATTAATGAAACAAATATCTGGTAATATTAATAACTATGAAATATATAATAAAAAAATCAACTGGTGGTCTTAGGTGACCGGAACCCGCGACCAAGTGAATTCCAACCACTGACGCTTACGATTGGACCACCATGACTGGGAAAAGTCTTGCAAGCCCTTCCTAAAGGTAGTCCAAGTTTTCCATGTGGCACTCTACATGTGTTTACATGTGCAGGTATAGGCACATATAAACACAACATTGGACCACAATGTTTTCGAAAAGCCATGCAAGCCTTTCCTAAAGGAAGTCCGAGTTTTACTTATGACATTCAAGCAATCTGGTGTAGGCAACATATTTCATCCCCCGCACATTCCAACATCAGATACACAGATAAATCACATTAACACAGTGGTCAGCGGCTGGGATTTTCTCAGTCATGCGTTCGAGTCACCTCAAAGCAGCAGGTGATTTTCTCATTGGTATATATCACGTCAATGTGTGTGGTGGTAATAGGGTTAATACATATATCACATTAGTGTGATTTCATTGTTTTAAATAATAATTAAATAATAATACTTATGGTGAGAAATAATAATAATGATGAAATAAATAAACAAATAATAATAATGAAACAAATCATAATTATAATAATAATAAGATAAATATTAATAGTAATCATGATGGAACAAATCCGTGTAGTTGCAGCGATAAAACACTCTCCAGTTGCTTTGCAAATGCTTTGGCCTGGGTTCGTATCTTGACCGGGTGCCAATCCTTAACTGTAGCCTCTATTCACCCAGCAGTGAATAGGTACCTGGTTCTTGAACGATTTCACAGGTCATATTACAGGGAAAAATAATGATTAAGGACCTACCCGAAACGTTAGGCAAACTAGTGGCTTTACAAAAATGTAACAACTCGTGTTATATATAAAATATTAATATTAATAATAATGATGAAATAAATAATAATAATAGTAATGATGTAACAATAATAAAAACAAAAACTATATGCAGAAAAATTACACTAATAAATAATAATAATAATGACGAAACAATAACGATACCAGAGAACTCACACTAACTTGACATATATCAATGAGAAAATCAAATAGAGTTTTGAGTTGATTCAAACCTGCAACAAAGAGAATCATGTTGGTGTCAGCGGCTGGGATTCTGTGGGTCGCGTTTCCGAGTCACCTCAGAGTTCCAGTTGACTTTCTCAATAATAATGATGAAACAAATGACAATAATGATGAATCAAATAATAATAATGATGAAACAAATAATAATAGTGACTAAACAAACAATAATAATGATGAAACAAATATCAACAATAATACTGATGAACCAAATAATAATAATAATAATAGAGAATAACAATATTCATAAAATCAGGAGTTATCGAGAGGATTTGAACTCTGTACACTGGATACTCCCAAACACACACTAAACTACTAGGTCACGATATGCTACGAAAGTAATGTGATCTGGAATTCGTCTGAAAACCCTTGGTTTCCTGAGGGATCTCATACGGGGTCAGTGTTTTACACATTACACTCTATCTGTGGTATAGGTTGTTGTTGTTGTTGTTAAAGATTCGCTACCTGGAACAAAGTTCCAAGCAGCACGGGCTATGGTGAGCCCGTAGATGTGGTATAGGAATTCGACCCTCAAGACTTTTCTTCGAATGCACTAATAATTACCGTTAGCGTAATGTATCAGTGAGATGTCATCCTACACTCTGGGTACTACCAAGATCTCTATCGTACGCTATTACTAATAGCATGATAGGAGGAAGTTACTATGTCCTGAGCGGGATAAATGGCGGGCGTATTTTCTACTACCTAATCCCCTGTTCACAAAGCAGTAAATGTGTACCCCTTGAGTTAGTCAGCTTGTTGAAAAGTTACATTTTGGAGAGGGATACATTTTGCATGAAATGGCAAAATCATGCCATATTCCAATCTCTAGACACTATCTTCACTAAGATTCATCAGGTATGTTATTTTCTTCGTGATTAAATGTTTGGAGCTTCCATAACCATGAAAAACCATGCTGAAGCAAAATGCTTAATACATGTAAATTAAATATGAGCTTACCATAAATTTGTTGTTCAAGAAAGTGTGAAGTGGTGATAATTACAGTGATGATTGTATGTTGTGAAGATGGATACAATGATGTTTGTATGTAGTGAAGATGGTTACAGTGATGACGGTCGTGTGTAATGTAGAGGGTTATGGTGATATATATATTGAAGATAGTCACAGAACTAATGAACGTATATAGTGATGATGGTCGTGTGTAGCGAAAATGGTTAAAGTGATGATAGTCATGTGTAGCGATAAAAGTTGCGTGTAGTGAAGAATTTTTTTTAGTGCTGATGGCCGTGTGTAATGTTGATGGTTTTAGTCATGATTGTCCTGTGTAGCAAAGATGATTACAGTAATGATGGTCATGTGTAGTGAGAATGGTTCCGGTGATGAAGGTCGTGTATATGTTATATTGATGATAGTCGTGTGTAGAGAAGTGACTACCGTGATAATGGTCCTGTTTGGTGAAGATGATTACAGTGATGATGGTCGTGTGTAGCAAAGATAGTTTCAGTGATGATGTTTGTGTGTAGTAAAGATGGCTACAGTGATGATGCTTGTGTGTAGTGAAGATGGCTGCAGTGATGATGCTTAAGTGTAGTGAAGATGGCTACAGTTATTTTGGTGGTGCATAGTGAAGATTGTTACGGTGATGATGGTCGTGTGTAGTGAAGATGTTGACCATGATGAAGACAAAAGTTAACTTTCCGAAACAAAAATTGCAAGGAAGGAGGAACAGAGATCTTGATAACCAGTATAAGAGGATTGCTACACAGGAGCTAAGGATTAATGCCAAGGATTGATACCCAGGAGCCAAGGATTCAAACCTAGAAGCCAAGGATTAATACCGATGAGCAGAGGATTGATACCCAGAAGCTATAGATTGAAGCCCAGGCGTGAAGGATTCATACCAAGGAACCAAAGACTTCGCGTTCTAGTGGTTGTTCAAGAATGTAAGAACTCTTGTAAATATAAACCAAAAAAATGGATCCATATCCAGGAACCTAGGGTTCATACCCAGGAACCAAGAACTGATACCCAGGACAAACGTGGATTCACAATTGTAGGTAAACAAAGACAGCTGGAGAGAATAGTTCCTTTTATTTTTTAAGTTGTAACGCTGATACAAAAGGGAAGGAGAGAGGTGGGAGGAGAAGCTGTTCATATCACAAAAGATCCCCGTAATTACTACTCACGAGGAAAATCGAATTATAGAGACATTGAATAACAAATTGATCATGCGATGGGTGTGTATGGGATACATAGGATTCTCATAGTCATTTAGCTCTTATTGAATGCTTGTCGTTCTTAGATTGGAAATTCTTAACTGCTTTCTTCTTTTCTGTGGTACGTTAGCCATTCTTATATTCATCGCTGTTGAGCGTAAGGAGAGTGAGAAGTTCTTTGTTGATGTTGGCTCTCCGTGTGCTTCGCGTCAGCCGTTAGTATCAACAATAAAAACCGTTCACCTGGCAAGACGTCCGTGTAAATTTAGGATTTTAATAATTATTTTTATTTGCATGTAGAGAGGGACGGGGGAGAGGGAGGTGGGGAAGACATGTTAAAAGAGGTACAAGTATTATGTGATAACAGCTGGAGAGATTTTTATAGGTTTTGGTTGAAGACGAACATACTCGTAAATTTGGATGATATTTATCTCAATCTTTCCTCTAAAGCTTTATGCCTTTTTTCTCTCTCCCTCCATCTTCTTCCCAAACTCTTTATCTCCGTATACCTTTGCCATTCACGTTACATAGTTAAGTTTTTTTTCTCACTCTATTTCCACTAATTTAAGTAAATCCCCCTCCTGGTCTATTACTACTCCTATCATCCATCCTCATCTCCCTTCCCCTCTCAGTCTATCTTTGCTCATATCATCCCCTTCCCTCTCAGTATATCTACTCTCGTATCATTCATCCTCATCCCTCCATGTCTATCTCTACCCCTATCATGTATCATTGTCCCTCTCTATCTCCACTCGTATCATCCATCCTCGTCCCTCCCTTACTATATCCACCCCAACCCTCTATCTTCATACCCCCTTCACCTGAGATCCTTGACTACTGCAACAGACCTTCGCTGCTTGTCCTGTGGGGGTCAGGTGTGGGTATATATAGCAGGGGCCCTGTAGGTTGGTCAGCATTCTCAACTGACTCTCACACCGACAACATGAAGCTTGTGAGTACTGAACATGACCGTTGTCGTTAGCCTCAAACTCTTCAGTCTGAGGCTAACGTCTCTCTCTTAGAAAGAGAGAGAGCTTTTCCATGCTCTCTATCTCTCAGAGTGAGAACATGAATGGAAAACGACCCTAACACTTGCCGCTGTGATCATACATCTTTTTTCTTATTTATTTCCGCATTATCGGTATTGTGTGTGTCATTCTTGATTACAGATTTCTTCTTTATTATGCCACCCCATACCCATCCCGTAGGTGGTGGTAGAAAGGGTTACAGAGGCACATAATCGGTTCAGAAGCTGAACTTCATAGTTCAGTTAGCTAAGCAAGTGACAATCTTTTGAAACTAGTTGCACAAGTATTAATGTTATATATATACAATCATTTACACATATACACATCGACAATCTTTTTTTTATCACAAGTGATTCAACAAGAGGCTCACAATATTCACTATACAAGGCACATTACATGTATGGTGAATCACACAGTTACTAGTCTTGCTCCACACCCACCCAACTGGGCGGCAACTTTACAGCCAATCATGCATTACCTACAGTAAGCAAATTTTTAACATTTCGCTGAGATTCCCGGCAGTACATCATTATGAATGAAGTACTTACACATTTCTTGGACTCCATTGGTAGCATTACCTCTGAATTCTGCAATTTTTTCACATTCCATTATATAATGACGAGTATGCGAGTAGTTCTGTTGACAGAGTTTACATTTAGTCAAGACTACATCACCAGATGTTACAAACTCGTTTTAGGATCTGTTAAGTCATGACCTAAATTTTCGTTAGGCTCATAGTTGCTGTGGCTATGTGTATCAACCACTCTTTCCCTTTTATCCCTGCAGGTCTATGAGTCTCTATTCCTATCTTTATCTTTCTCTAAGGCATTTTCTTGTATGCACGACTGTCTCTGATTCAGCACTGCCTAGGCTCTCATCCTGTTTACTCACACCATGCCAGGCTCGACAACAGCTGGCCAGGTGTCCTTCAAACGGCCGGCGTGCCGACCGGTGATTTCATCTGCAGTGAAAGTCATAATAGATTTTAATGGTGCAATAACACGGCATCTTGCTTCTTTTGTGCGATGGAAGGTGTGGGGAGTACCGGAGGGGGTGATAAGTAAAGAACTATGATAGTAGGCGCCAAGCCAGGAAAACCTACGTAGCACCAAGGAGTGATAGGAATGGCCAATTTGGGGCACGGGAGTAGGAGGAAAGGAAAGGGGTAACGGTAGGAGAGGACTAATGTGGGATGGACATCTAATGTCGGAGGACAAGGGGTAGTTGGGAGCAGACATAGAAGCTGATACGGCGTTGCTGCTTCAAACCATTCGTTCGTCAATTTATATGTCATCTATCAATTCATGCAACCGATTGTCCACTCGGCCGTCTTTATATCATTTGTCATTCTAATTTGCCATACAAATACCTTGTTGAATTGTTTCTTGTTAATTCTCATTTTCTTCTGTTGCCTCGTAGTTCATAATTACTGCTTGATGTTACTTTCATGCTCGGCATGTGTGGTGATATTGACGTTATATTTAACACTATTATCATTCAGATTTTTATATTCTCATCACTGTCAACGTCGTTTTCAGATTCTCTTCGCTTGCCTGGTCGTTCTGGTCGCCGCTCGCCCTGAACAGGACGCTGAGACGACGTTGGACGAGAGAGACGACTCTGGCGATGGCAACTTCAACTACAAGTTTGAAACCAGCAACGGAATCTACGAGGAGAGGACTGGCTCCCTTGGGGCTGATGGCCAGAGCAATATAGAGGGCGTCTTCAGGTAGGTCGCAGCACGAGCGTTTTATTAGTTCTTGTGGGTCAGAGACAGATTCCTGGCTACGAATCATACACCTTAGCTGATTGGTTAAGCAATTTGGTCGTTTGTTATACTGGTGGTGTTCAATCACTCGATGTATCAAATGGTTGGACACCCTTCATTCACTTCGTCTTTATATCCGATCCAAGTAATATATAATATTTGCTTTGAATTTTCTCCACGAAACTTTATTTACCTCATGTTCGTCTCTCGATAATCACAATCTTCGCTCCAACACAGGTTCACATTGCCTGATGGCACCGTAGGCGAGATCCGATTCATCGCTGACGAGAACGGCTACCAACCCTTGTCCAACTTGTTGCCCACGCCCCACCCCCTCCCAGCCCACGCAATCGAACAGATCCGCTTCGCTGAAGAGCAACGCGCTAAGGGAGTCATCTTCGAAAAGTAATGTGGGAGGTGTGAGGCTGGCCCCCACCCATCCACGACCACTTCGATACACAGCTGACCGTCATCTTGTACCCTTCACACACACGAGAAAATTTCTCCCTCATGCACAACTTTTATGGCGTATTCTTCTTGTCAGCAGAAGTCCGAACACAACCCTAATAGGAGCTCATATATAGAAAAATAAACTTTTTTTTGCAGGCCTTTGTGTTTCTGTGGGCAGTTCCTTTTGGCGAATTTAATGGTTCTTCAGCTTCACTCTATATGCAGTCCCCACAGACATTTTATAGGAATCTTTTATTAACAATTAATGAGTGTTAAGTAACAGAACCAATCAAAATAATACAAATAATAATAATGATGAAACAAATAATAATAATAATGACACAAAAATAATAATATTGATGAAACAAATAACAATGAGAAAATCAACTGGAGGTTTTAGGTGAATCGAACCCGCGAACTAAGTCCAACAACAGACGCTAACGATTGGACCACCATGACTTGGAAAACCATACAATCCCCACATAAAGTTAGTCCGGGTTTTACATATGACCCTCAAGCACTCTAATGTAGGCTACGTAATTCATCCATCTTACTCGCCAATATCAGATACACAAAGAATTCACATAAACACAGTGGTTAGTGTCACCAGGTGGGATTCTCTCGGTAGCGGGTTCCAGTCACCTCAATGGTGCAGGTGATTTGTCATTAATATATATATCACTTAAATGTGTGTGAGGGTCAGGGTGTTTATTTATATCACGTTAATGAGATTTCTTTAAATAATAATAATAATAATGAAACAAATAATAAAACTACTGATAAACAAATAATAATATTACTGATAACAAAATAATACTAATACTTATAACAAAATAATAATACTAATACTTATAACAAATAATAACACTAATACATATAACAAAATAATAATACTTCTGATGAAACATATAATAATACTTCTGATGCAACAAATAATCATACTTCTGATGAAACATATAATAATACTTCTGATGCAACAAATAATCATACTTCTGATGAAACAATTAATATTAATCATGAAGGAACAAATCCGTAGAGTCTCCATGGCGCAGTTGTAAAACACTCGCCCGCGCTTAACCAATTCTTTGGCCTGGGTTCGTATCCTAGCAGGAAAATATTGCCCAAGTGCCAATCCTTAGCTGTAGCCTCTGTTCACCCAGCAGTGATGCAGGTAGTGCTGAGGGTTATAGTGATGATGGTCGTGTTTAGTGAAAATAGCTACAGTGGTAATTGTTGTGTGTAGTGTAGATGGTTATAGTGATGATGGTCATATGAAATATGACGGGTCATATTATGAAGAAAAATATTAAGACCTGCTCGAAACGCTATGTATGCTAGTGGCTTTATAGGAATGCAACAACTCTTGAAAAAAAATGAAATAAATAATAAGAACAGGAAGAATAATGATGATGAAACAATGAAAATTATTATGATAATGTAACAAATTATATTATTAATAATGAAGCAGTAGTAATAAAAATTATGTTGAAAATAATAATAATGAAATAAATAATAATAATAATGATGAATTAAATAATAATAATAATAATGATGAATTAAATAATAATAATATTGATGAATTAAATAATAATAATGATGAATTAAATAATGATAATAATGATGAATTAAATAATAATAATAAATTAAATAATAATAATGATGAATTAAATAATAATGAAATAAATATTGAGAAACAAATAATAATAATGAAATAAATAATAATAGTGACAAAACAACAACGATGCAAAGGGAAATTACACTACCTTAAATCAACTGAAGTTCTTGTGTGACTTGAACCGGTGACCATGAGAATCCTGTTAGTCGTGGGTTCGAGTCACCTCAGAGTTACAATTTATTATTTCGACAATAATGATGAAACAAATAATAAAAACAATTATGAAACAAATATTGATAAAATCAACTAGCTGGAGGTGTTAGGTGACACGAACTAGCGACCAAGAGAATTCCAACCACAGACGCTAACGATTGGACCATTTGTTGGAAAAGCCATGCAAGCCTTTCTCGGGTGAAGGTAATGTAATTAATCTATCGTGCACGCCATCGTCAGATACTCAGATAAATCACATTACCACAATGGTCAGTGACTTGAATTCTCTCGGCCAGCGGTTCGAGTCACCTCAAAGCTGCCGGTGATTTTCTTATTGGTATATATCACATTAATGTGTGTGTGTGGTGGTATTAGGGTTTACATAAAATCACATTATAGTGATTTCTTTGTTATAAAAATAATAAAAACTTTTTTGATGGAACAAATAATGGTAATGAAAAAATAAATAATAATAATGATGAAAAAAATAAACAAATAGTAATAATGATGAAACAAATAATAATATTATTGAACATTATAGTTAGTTATTATTTATAATTGATCAATACTAATATTTACCACTGAAATCTCGTGTGGTTCTAGTGGTAAAACACTCTCAAGCGCTTCGTGAATGCTTTGGCCTGGGTTCGCATCTTTACTGGAGAGGATTGACCGGGTGCCAATCCTTAAATGTCGCTTCTGTTTACCTAGCATTGAATAGGTACCTGGTAAAAGGATATGACGGGTCATATTATGAAGAAAAATATTAAGACCTGCTCGAAACGCTATATATGCTAGTGGCTTTATAGCAATGCAACAACTCTTGAAAAAAAATGAAATAAATAATAAGAACAGGAAGAATAATGATGATGAAACAATGTAAATTATTATGATAATGTAACAAATTATATTATTAATAATGAAGCAGTAGTAATAAAAATTATGTTGAAAATAATAATAATGAAATAAATAATAATAATAATGATGAATTAAATAATAATAATAATGATGAATTAAATAATAATAATATTGATGAATTAAATATTAATAATGATGAATTAAATAATAATGAATTAAATAATAATAATAAATTAAATAATAATAATGATGAATTAAATAATAATAATAATGAAATAAATATTGAGAAACAAATAATAATAATGAAATAAATAATAATAGTGACAAAAAAACAACGATGCAAAGGGAAATTACACTACCTTAAATCAACTGAAGTTCTTGTGTGACTTGAACCGGTGACCATGAGAATCCTGTTAGTCGTGGGTTCGAATCACCTCAGAGTTACAATTTATTATTTCGACAATAATGATGAAACAAATAATAAAAACAATTATGAAACAAATATTGATAAAATCAACTAGCTGGAGGTGTTAGGTGACACGAACTAGCGACCAAGAGAATTCCAACCACAGACGCTAACGATTGGACCATTTGTTGGAAAAGCCATGCAAGCCTTTCTCGGGTGAAGATAACGTAATTAATCTATCGTGCACGCCATCGTCAGATACTCAGATAAATCACATTACCACAATGGTCAGTGACTTGAATTCTCTCGGCCAGGGGTTCGAGTCACCTCAAAGCTGCAGGTGATTTTCTTATTGGTATATATCACATTAATGTGTGTGTGTGGTGGTATTAGGGTTTACATAAAATCACATTATAGTGATTTCTTTGTTATAAAAATAATAAAAACTTTGATGAAACAAATAATGGTAATGAAAAAATAAATAATAATAATGATGAAAAAAATAAACAAATAGTAATAATGATGAAACAAATAATAATATTATTGAACATTATAGTTAGTTATTATTTATAATTGATCAATACTAATATTTACCACTGAAATCTAGTGTGGTTCCAGTGGTAAAACACTCTCAAGCGCTTCGTAAATGCTTTGGCCTGGGTTCGCATCTTTGCTGGAGAGGATTGACCGGGTGCCAGTCCTGAAATGTCGCTTCTGTTTACCTAGCATTGAATAGGTACCTGGTAAAATGATATGACGGGTCATATTACGAAGAAAAATATTAAGACCTGCTCGAAACGCTATGAATGCTAGTGGCTTTATAGGAATGCAACAACTCTTGAAAAAAAATGAAATAAATAATAAGAACAGGAAGAATAATGATGATGAAACAATGTAAATTATTATGTTAATGTAACAAATAATATTATTAATAATGAAGCAGTAGTAATAAAAATTATGTTGATAATAATAATAATGAAATAAATAATAATAATGATGAATTAAATAATAATAATAATAATGATGAATTAAATAATAATAATATTGATGAATTAAATATTAATAATGATGAATTAAATAATAATAATAAATTAAATAATAATAATGATGAATTAAATAATAATAATAATGAAATAAATATTGAGAAACAAATAATAATAATGAAATAAATAATAATAGTGACAAAACAACAACGATGCAAAGGGAAATTACACTACCTTAAATCAACTTAAGTTCTTGTGTGACTTGAACCGGTGACCATGAGAATCCTGTTAGTCGTGGGTTCGAGTCACCTCAGAGTTACAATTTATTATTTCGACAATAATGATGAAACAAATAATAAAAACAATTATGAAACAAATATTGATAAAATCAACTAGCTGGAGGTGTTAGGTGACACGAACTAGCGACCAAGAGAATTCCAACCACAGACGCTAACGATTGGACCATTTGTTGGAAAAGCCATGCAAGCCTTTCTCGGGTGAAGGTAATGTAATTAATCTATCGTGCACGCCATCGTCAGATACTCAGATAAATCACATTACCACAATGGTCAGTGACTTGAATTCTCTCGGCCAGCGGTTCGAGTCACCTCAAAGCTGCCGGTGATTTTCTTATTGGTATATATCACATTAATGTGTGTGTGTGGTGGTATTAGGGTTTACATAAAATCACATTATAGTGATTTCTTTGTTATAAAAATAATAAAAACTTTTTTGATGAAACAAATAATGGTAATGAAAAAATAAATAATAATAATGATGAAAAAAATAAACAAATAGTAATAATGATGAAACAAATAATAATATTATTGAACATTATAGTTAGTTATTATTTATAATTGATCAATACTAATATTTACCACTGAAATCTCGTGTGGTTCTAGTGGTAAAACACTCTCAAGCGCTTCGTGAATGCTTTGGCCTGGGTTCGCATCTTTACTGGAGAGGATTGACCGGGTGCCAATCCTTAAATGTCGCTTCTGTTTACCTAGCATTGAATAGGTACCTGGTAAAAGGATATGACGGGTCATATTATGAAGAAAAATATTAAGACCTGCTCGAAA